GGAATCAGTGGTGAAATGTTGATTTACAGTAGTTGAGGATCTGGCACATTGACTCATTAATTGCTTAGACTGTTCTTGGATTTTGATCATACAAATATTCAACCACTGTCCGTTAATTCTTAAGTCATTTTGAGAAGTGGGCTGTGCCCATGAAAGCTCATACCACCTACATATTTTGTTAGTTTTTGAAGTGCTACCAGACTATTTGTTGGTTTTTTACGTTTACCCTGTACAAACTAACTTGGCTACCCCTCAGAAGCCTCTAATAAAACATGTCTGCCATTTAGAAAGGTGTCGGGATTCACAGAGTACATTTGTGCTCTTATTTATCTTGGTCAAACATAAATATGTCGGAAATACTCATTTGCAATCATTCTGCTCAGAGGACATTTTTGTTGTGTATTCAATTATCTGAATTAAAATCCATCAGGTAGTTATTTCTAGTGGGAGACATTTCTCTCTTTTGCGTACCTTAACCTTTCACTGCCAAGGGACACAACTCCGTGTGGAAGGAGAATAGGTATGAGCACATCGAGGTGTTTTTGCCTCCGCCGAGAGGGAGCTGGCGTCTAGCTCAGCCGGTTTTACAATGAGATAAGGACACAAACGGGCATAGCACTGACTTCGTCCTCCCCCCTCGAGGCTGCCCCGGGCCAGCCGAGGAAAGGCAGAGCCAGGCACGGGACTTGCGGGCCAGATGCGCCGCCCAAGGAGGAGCGCGCAGAAGCCGCCTCTCTTTATCCCCCACTTTAAGCGCCCTTCCTGGGCACCTCAGACGGGTCCTTCCGGGGGCTCCCGCGTTTGCGGCCCCGGAGCCTTTTCCTCACGCAGGCCGCTGACGGGCAGCCTAGTCTGCGCTCTAGCGCGCGCAACGAGCGAGCATGCGCAAAACAATTGCACATGCCCAGTTATACCACAGGGAGGGGGGGAAAATCCCGGAGGCGTCACTGGTTACTGCGCATGCTCAGTCGACACAGCGGTCTAGCGCGGTGGGCGCCGAGGCTTTGCCGACACTGGTGAGGCTGCGCAGTTCGGGCCTTTGCCGGAAGTCGTAGTCCCCTAGCGCGCGCAACGAGCGAGCATGCGCAAAACAATTGCACATGCCCAGTTATACCACAGGGAGGGGGGGAAAATCCCGGAGGCGTCACTGGTTACTGCGCATGCTCAGTCGACACAGCGGTCTAGCGCGGTGGGCGCCGAGGCTTTGCCGACACTGGTGAGGCTGCGCAGTTCGGGCCTTTGCCGGAAGTCGTAGTCCCCTCCGCACGTGGCGGGGTTAGGGGGGCGGCAGCCCGGGGGTGTGGGGGG